TGGAAAGGTGCTTGAAAGGTAGCAGGGCAAGACCCAGGGGCGGAGGGGCTTGGAGTGATGCTGGGCAGGGGGGAGGGTGACCCTTATGTCTCCAGCTCAGGCAGTCGCCTCGCAGTTCACACCCATGGGCAGAAGGCTGGGTTCAGGAGTCCTCACAGAGACGCAGATGGAGATGCCAGTCAAAAATATGATTATGGGGGCTTGTGAGATAGCTCAATGGACTAAAGCACCTGCTTAGGCAAGTGCAGGGACTCGGTTCAATCCCTGGCACCACATGCTGCACCAGTCCCACCCCCAGGGTGTGCTGAGCCGGCCACAGAGTCCGGGTGTAGTGGCGCACGCCAGCAGTCCCAGCACTGGCGAAGCTGAAAGCAGGAGAAACACTACAAGTCCTATCTGTGTAGTGAGACCCTGTAGACCCTGTACTGAAAAACACAATAAATAAATAAAAAGAAAATATTATTCTGCAATTTGGGGCAAGACCTTAGCAGGCAAGAGTGCAGTCGCTGGCCTTTAACTGGAAGCACCAGGTAAAAATCTTGAGTAGCCACTCAAAGATTATCTACAGGAAGAAGCAAGTGAGGAAAAAGTAGAAGGTGGCATCACGCCGTGGGCGCTGTTCTGTCCAGTCGCCTGCCCCTGCCTCCGTGAGCACAGCCTATTTCTGTCTCATAATCAGCACATCTATATTCTCTTACAACATGGCATTTCTCAGAAGTCGTAATAATTTTCTGCTGCCTGTAGGTTGGACCTCCAAATTCTTGGTTTTGAAGCTCTTCCCAATAAAACTTTGTCGTATGATTGCTCTGTTAACTTTTCCTACCAACATTTTTTTCATACCATCAACCTACTTTTACCTCCTTTCTCTTCTTCATCAAAATCTTAGACACCTTTTACAGAACCCAATTCCATTTTTTTCAAGAACACTTTGCTCCTGAGAATTAGGATTAAGAGGTTTTTTTTTTTTTTTTTTTTTTTTTTTTTTTTTTTTTTTTTCTACTTCATGCTGATTTAAGGGCAGGTCCACTGCCTCTTGTGGAGCTGGGAATCCATCCCCGATCCTATGCGCCTGATTGCATTAGCCCAAGCGGCGCTTTAAACAACTGAGCTGTCTGGCACAGCCCTGAGAATTAGGATTCAGTATGTGGGGGAGCACATGCCTAGGATGTGCAGGCAGAGGGTGTGATCGCTCGCCACGGGAACAAAGGGAAGGAGAAGCGAGGGAGGGAGCGGCCGAGGGAGGGCCTGACTGGCGTCCGCGTAGACAGGGAAGCCGCGCAGGCCTGCACACGGGAGCGCCGTGTGAGCCCGGGGAAGCCGAGACCTGTGCCTGCGCAGGGGCGGGAAGCTCGCGCAGGTTCTCACCCCCAGTCCTGAGCAGAAGCGAGCCTGTCGTGCCTTGACTTCAGCGTGCCGGCCGTCGGGCGAGCCAGGGACTCTGACAGGGTTCCGGCGTTTAAGCTTCCCAGTCCTGGCACACTGCTGCAGCCCTCTTAGCTGACTATCAGCCTTAGAAAGGCTGACCTGCGGCCTAACGCGCGGAGCCCTCCGTGAAGTCAGTGCGCGCAGTTTATGCGGAGCGCTGCTCGCAGGACTCCTTACCTTTGGTTCTTCAGCATAACACAGGATATCCAGCCTATCTTTTGAATCTGCGATTTCACTCCCTTCTCTGATGTCTTACATGAAGAATCATGATGCAGTCAATCAAAAGTAGACAATAACATATCTTTGATTAAGATCCTACTATGTTGCGGGAGCTTTATATTCTTTATTTCCTTCAATCCTCATTACAACTCCTTATGGAGACTTTCTGTCTTCCTTACAAACAGGGAAGTGGCGGGTGAAGCTAACGTCCTCTCCTGAGATCGCGGTGCTATTGTGTTGGCGGCCGAGACCTGAGCTCACGTCAGTCTAGTTCCAAAACTTCTCTTGCTTCCACTAATGCACAGAGCCATTTGAAAAATGGAAACTGAATCACTAAATAGATCAAATCCTCAGGTGTAATGTTACCCTTTAAGCCAGAAGATTAGAAGTAAAAGGGCCACAGGTCCCCAGGCCTGTACAGAGGACTGAGGACTAAGTGCATGGGATGGCACTAAGCATGCTACCTTTAGTTCCTGACAGGGAAGACTGTGACACGCCATGGGACCTCTGAGTTAAAAAGCCACGCATCTCAGCAACAGGTTACGGGGTGGTCCTAATTTCTATCACAAAATTATTATCAGCAAAGATATAAAATCTAAATGTTAATATCTCTTTGCCCCTCAAAGTTTAATTACACATTAATCAATATAGAAAAACCAAAGTAGATTCAGATGTGCTACAAAATCAGTGTTTCAATTTGCCTAATAGTGGAATTACCTTTAGGCTAATGGTTAAGACCAAATGCTTAGCCTTGTCATTAAAAATACATGGCTTTGAAACTATAAGTAATTTCTTTACATTTTTAATTTTGTTTCTGACTGGTTTGATAAACTTAGATATGTTTCCATCTTTGAAAGCAGGCTCCCTTGTAACACTGTAAGACTGAAGAAGGGCTGGCCAAATAGCTCAGTGGATTAAAGGGCCTGCAAGTAGGCACAAGGCCTGGGGGTTCGATCCCTAGGCCTGCCATGCCAGCTCCATCCCCGGGGCTCACTGAGATGGCAATTGAGATTGGGCATGGTGGCACATGCCTGTAATCCCAGCTCTTGGAAGGCTGTGAACAGGCGGATCACTATGAGTCCGATCTAGTAGTGAGACCCTGAACACCCTGTAGACCCTTCCCTAAAATACAAAAAGAAAAAAAAAAAGACTGAAGATTTTCACAATTAAGCTATGGAAAATATAAATTAAGCTTTTTCTCAGGAGAGCTCTGATCTTTGTAGCACTATGAAGGAAAATATTAAGAATATGAAGTACTTTTGATACATATGGATTTCTGTAGAAATATGAATGAAAATATTAATAATTACCTCAATCCTTTCAGCAGCTAATCGTGTTATTTTACAAACCTCTGCATGATTGAATATATAAAAATAACTGCATAATTTAACACACTAGATATGTATCACTAAGTTGCATATTTTTGCTTTGCTAACTCAGAGCAGCATTAATCTTTTATAATTTCTAAGGTAAAACAAATCTACCTCCCATAACTAATTGGAAAAAAATGTGCCTTATTTTCTCATTCATTGTACATTGGTTAACTCAATTAGCCTCTGAATCCAAATCCCCTACAGCTTATTGTTTCCATTTCAAGTAACTGCTTTAAGGTATTTTATAAAGATTACTTGAGATGCTTGCCAATTTTATCTTTCATGTCAGCTCATGTGAGATTTTTCAATGTCTCTTCAGAAATACAGGAAATATATATGACGGAGAAAGTGATCCAAAACACACTCTGAAGGCTAAAAGGTAATTCTAATTTCTTTATGTATCTAAACAGACATTTAAATGTATTTCATTATTATTCTTATATAAATTATTATGTACCATATATTATATGATAATCAGGATCTGGTTTATATTGTGCAAATAACCATAGCTAATAATGGCAACATTTTATATTGTATCATAGTAGTATATGAGAATTTATAGTAATAGTTCATATTATACTAAAATTATTACATTGTAATTATAATAATTTGTATTATAATAACATAATAGTGTCATTATCATTTTGTGTATAAATAATAATAATGACTTGTGGTAAGATGCATTGTAATTATAATTGCATGATAGGTTACAGAGTGATCTAACAAGACCATTCTAGATTTTAAATGACCTATTTATAAGTGACATTATGACTCTATTGATGACAAAGTGCCTTAAGAGAGAGGAAGTACCTGGGGGAAAGATGTGGCTATTGAGACCCAAATCACTAATGTTAATCATTCAAAATTATACACAATGTTAGATGATTCCCTATTTCTTGTGTCACCTCCTTGGGCATAAACCAATCTCCTTTGTTTCACATAGCTCATTAAAAAGGTTATAAAATCACATCCGAATGGAATTTAGTCCAAACATTTTGGTTTTGTTGGATATTGTTGTAGGGACATCATAAACATACGTTTGCCTGAGGAAACTAAGGGTCTCCCCTGCACACACGCATCACTGTCACGTCTTAAGCTGCCGGTCACTCCTCTTACCTCTGGGAAGTGTACATGTGCACATTTGAAGGGAGTAGCACACACTTTGTTTTTCTTGAGTGGTGTACACGGGGTAATGAAAAACCACAGTGTGTGTGTAAATAAATTTAATTACACTGGAAGACACATTGCTATTAATCCCCCTTAAAATACTTCCATCTTTGTTGCCACTTTCTGAAGCAGGTCAGGAAAGTCATGAAGTCTTTCATGAGTGTGTGCTCAAAAAAGTGATGGATGCTGGCGCTGCTCTCCAGGGGCAGCTGGGCTCCCAAGGCCACGACAGCGTGCCTTCGCCCACTGCCATCACTGGGTCTGGCTCTGTGTGACTTTGGCTCTTCCCCAGTGTTAAAATGACCATCAGAGGGAAGTGCTTTGTACCACCTTAGGTCACTGAGGTACCCACAGGGACACAAGCAGGCACAAATGTCGAGATCCAGAGCTGCTTTAGGAAGTCTCAAGAATGATGGGAGATGTGTTACCACAGGCAAGGGGAGGGTGCTGAGGGGCTCAATGGCAATGTGTGTCTTACTGTAATAATTGTAATTTACATGCTCACTATAATTTTTAGCACACCACGTGTGCATGTGTGTGAGCACTGTGGTCAGCACTGACGTCATCTACAGCATTTACATGTTGGAAAGTGGTTGTGTCTGAGAGGGCAAGAGTGGCTTTACCAGGCTCTAGGGAGATAGCTCAGCAGCTTAAGTGCCCACCTAGCAAGCACAAGATCCTGAGTTGGATTTCTGATACCACCCAAAAAAACTGGATTTTCCATCTGTCACAAAGAAAGGTTCCTCTATCATATTGGGAAATAAAAAATATTAGATAATTCAAAGGCGAGGCTAGGTCTGGAAGCGAAGAGCTCACATTTGGTCGCTGATGTTGCGCACCCATTCCTGTCTTCGGAACGCCTCCCTGGCCTGCTTTAACTCGTCCACCGGTTGTGCGGCTCGCAGTGTGGGCTCCAAGGGCTTGTAGCGCTGCTCTAACACTTCGCTGACTTTTCGAAAGGGCCCCTGGGAAGAGCAAAGGGGACACAGACTTCACTACGGGAGACTTTTCTGCCATAATTTCTTTCTTTTTTGATCTGACATAATGTTGACAACCTACTCTAGGTAGCATCTGCACAGTATAGCAAGTTTGCTAATTGTTGTAAGTATAATTGATTCTCCTTTGTGTTAGGAGATACAGAAACAAGAATATCATTTATATTTAAGAAATGCTTTATTTATATTTCAAGTAAAATTGACTACATTAAATGTTTAGATTAAGCAGAAATTTCCTGAGTTACATGAAAAAGTTTTCATGCTTTAACTCCCAAACTTGTGCATTGTTTTTCCTAGTAATCTTTCAAAGATTTCTTTTAATTCAACTTAAACACAGCTCTCTCTCTCTTAAGAAAGCTACTAGAAAATGACTTTGAGCCCAACTTGTCAAGAGACTGCTTGTAAACAGAAATAGCAGAGCACGTGGATTTTTCATTAAACTAAAGCTATTAAATGAATGCCAATTTTTAGAATAAATGGGTAGCCACCTACGTGGAGAAATCCCCAAGCTGTAACATATTTTAGCGTCCCCTGTTATGCTAGCCTCTGTTTTTTCCATTACTCTAGAGACAAATGCGAACGCACGACACTGCGCGGGCTTACTGCGCCCTGCGGCCGGGTGGGCGCAATCTGCTGCCGTCGGCGAGGACAGCCCCGCCCACGCGGTGGCGCGGGCGCTCGTGGGGCTGCGCCCTGGGAAGCTCGCCTCGCTTTCTTTCTCCCCCGCGTTGGGGCCAGAGAGAAGCGGTGCAAAGTGAGCGTCTCTAGTCCTCCTCGTTCTTCTCCCAAGTCTCGTCTCTAGATAGGTGATCACTAACAAGGCGCAGCTGGAGGCAGGGCGCGCTCCGAGTAGAGACGGTGGGGCTAATAAAAAGAAACGATTCACGCCTCATTTCCGTTCACTTATGTTTTACATTAATAGAAACCAATAATAGGAACCAGTTACCATAAAAGTCATGGACCGTAAATAACACAAATGGCAAATAAGTATCATCTCGTACTTTTCACAGCTGGACAGGAGGGTGGTGAGATTTGAAAGTAGCTAATGGCTTTTTATTGGAACTTTACTTTTTAAAGACACAGCCACAGGATTCCAGATCTGCTGGTAAGAAACCAATTTTTTAGCAGACTCGTATTCTCTGAAAGAGTCCATGGTTCCAAAGAATCAATACGGAGTTGCGTAGCTAGGCCTGCTTTCAGCATATGCAGAGCCGGAGACGGTCTACATCGCAGAGTTGCTCTTCTGTGTGAGAATGCAACGCTCAGCACTTACGCAGACCAGAGTACACACACAAAGAGGGTGCTGAGGGTGTCACTGTTCCTATTGTTCTTCTTATTAGTCCAAGAAGAGTATAAAAAGGAGTTTGAACAATAGTAACATCAAAAAAAAAAAAAAGAAAAAAGAGAGCCAGGCATGGTGGCTCACACCTGGAATCCCACCACTTGGGAGGCTGAGGCAGGAGAATCTTCCCAGGTTCAAGGTCACATGGCTGCGTAACTTCAAGGTCAGCCACAAATATATTGTGAGACCCTGTCTCATTGAAAGGAAGGAAGGAAGGGGAGGGGGGAGAGAGAGAGAGAGAGAGAGAGAGAGAGAGAGAGAGAGAGAGAGAACTGTCCAAGTTATGACTTTGAAGAGGCCAGCGCCTGCAAGGAGAAATGGTACTCCCAGTGGCCACACTCCATCTTCTAACTTACTGACAAATGAGCATGCACGAATCTCACCCTGGATGTTCCTTACTATCTGTTCTAGGACTAATTAGTTCTAGGACTAATCCCAGGGGAACTAGGAAGTGAAAGAAAAGGAGCCTTCGTTTTGGCTCTGATCAGCACCATGGCGGTAGGCAAGAAAAGAGCCTTATGAAAGGCGGCAAAAAGGGAGCCAAGAAGAAAGTGGTTGACCCATTTTCTAAAAAAGACTGGTATGATGTGAAGGTGCCGGCTATGGTCAACATAAGGAATATTGGAAAAGCACTCATCACCAGAACCCAAGGAACCAAAATTGCATCTGGTGGGCTCTAAGGTCGTGTGTTTGAAGTGAGCCTTGCTGTTCTGCAGATGGTGAAGCTGCCTTTAGAAAATTCAAGCTGATTACTGAAGATGTTCAGGGCAAATCTGCCTAACTTCCATGGCATGACAAAAAGTGTTCCATGGTCAAAAAATGGCAGACTTTGATCGAAACTCATGTGGATGTCAAGACTACAGATGGTTATTTGCTTCAACTGTTCTGTGCTGGCTTTACTAAAAAACACAACAATCAGATCCGGAAGACCTCTTACGCTCAGCACCAGCAGGTCCGCCAGATCCAGAAGAAGATGATGGAAATCATGATCCGGGAGGTGCAGACCAAAGACTTGAAGGAAGTGGCCAATAAACTGATCCCAGACAGCATCGGGAAAGACACAGAGAAGGCTTGCCAGTCGATCTACGCTCTTCATGATGTCTTTGTCAGAAAAGTAAAAATGCCGAAGAAGCCCAAGTTTGAATTGGGAAAATTCATGGAGATTCATGGTGAAAAGTAGTAGCTCTGTAAAGGCTACTGGAGATGAGAATGGAGCTAAAGTTGAAGGAGCTGATGGATGTGAACCACCAGTCCAAGAGTCCACTTAAGATCCAGATTTTTAATAGTGATAAGTAAAGTCCTATTTGTGAAAGAAAAGAAAAGACAGGAAAAGAAAAGAAAAAAGAAAAGGAGCCTTGCTTATAGCAACTGAGAATGAACATAACTGTGCTTTGTTGGGTTCACCATCTAGGCCCCTGCTGTCACGTCTTTCTCTCTGAGTTTTTCAGGACAGTTAGTGTCCTGTCCATGGGTAAATTAGTTCATTTCCTTGACTGAGCAAGTTTCTCTTTTGGTAAAGTTGTGCTAGTTCGCATTTCCTTTAATATCCTGGACCATGTGATCATAGGGTGATCCCTGTGACTTGCAATCCAAGATTTTGGAAATAGCTGAAAACTTTAGATCTACTCATTGTGTTCATTTCCAACAATTAATCTCTAGGATCCATAGCCGACCCAGGACTCAACGTGACTCTACCTGTGTTCTTGGACACTTTACTTAGTATGTCTGCTTGATACATTGAAGAAATCACCTGACTAGTACAGTACTCTGCTCAAATATTTTCTTTTTCTTTTTTTTTTTTTTTTTCTATATTTAGGACAGGGTCTACAGGGTCTCACTATGTAGATCAGATTGGTAGTGATTCTCCTATTTACAGCCTCCCAAGTGCTGGGATTGCAGGCACATGCCACCATGCCCAGTCTCAATGGCATCTCAGTGCGCCTCAGGGGCAGGGTTGGCATGGCATGCCAGGGATTGAACCCAGCTGCTGCACTCTGCCTAAGCAGATGCTTTAGTCTGCTGAGCTATGCTGAACTATCAGACTGGCCCTATTCAAATATTTTCATTTGGGCATAATTTTAAATGTGTTGAATTATATATGACATTTTTTATTAACTGAATAGCATATAGGAATGTGGATCAGTCAAACAGCATAAGACAATCCCATTCTGTGAAAATAAAAAGAAAGAAAATAGGAAGGAAGGAAAGCAAGGGATAGGAAAATAAAAGAATAAAGAGGTGAAAGAAGAAAAGGACAGAAAGATGTGAGAAGGGGAAAAAACAAAATGACAGAATGAGAGGGAAAGATTGGAGGGTGAGAAGGAGGGACGTGACATAAGAAAGGAAGTGGCAGGGAAGGAAGGGAAGAAAGGAAAAGTGAGAGGATGGAAGAGAACAAGGGAGGAGAAAGGGCATGAAAGAGCACACCAGCGGAGGTCGCTGGACAGCGCCAGGGAGTGTGATGTGTCAGTGTGCGCACATATGCATGTGTATATATTTATAAAAGCCTACGTATATTCCCTGCACACACATGTGTACTTTTCTGTACATACTGGCCTCTCTATATATATATCTCTGTATAGATACTATACAATTGTGTATTTTTCTAAATATGTACTATATAAGCATATATATTGCCCATATGGCTATTGAACATATATACACTTATGTATGTGTATTTTCTATGTTTTCTCATATATTCCATATATGCATATGTATTTTCCACATGAATACGTGACTGTATATATCATTCATACATAAATTTTCATATGAATACACAATACCCAAAGATATCTTTTACCTACCTATTTTCTAGCCATAAATTTCCAAGATACTAGGTGCACATATGTACATAAACACATGTCCCTGGAGGGGGGCAGAGGGGAAGGTTGTGCAGGAAATAGCAATGGTTGTACTGAGAAAAGCATGGCAACAAGCAAGGAAAATGAATAAAACACATGCAGAGGAAATAACTTAGAAACAAGTATAAAAAAGCAAAGTACGGGTCCAGCAAGTTAGCTTGACAGTCTAAAAGCACCTGCTGAGGCAAGCTTCGGCAGGTGCAAGGGACTGCACTTCAATCCCGGCGCCACAAGCTGTGCCAGCCCTGCGCTCAGGATTGCTGAGCCAGCAAAAAAATGAAAGAAAGAAGAGCAGTAAGCAAATGTGAAAACACTGTGAGGCAGCTGTAAAATAATACTAAGCAGTTGATGTTGTGAATATCATAAGTTGTAGTAGTTCAGAGTACATGATTTCTGAGGTACTCCCACCTTATTTTGTTCATACCATAGAATTTCCCCATTTAGTTCCAATAACCACCTCATTGAATATAACATGCAATGTGGATCATTAAATATTCAAAATGTGGTGTTATATCTAATACCTCAACAACCATTGGGTGCCTAATATCTATATATTTAAAAAACTGAACACTTAATACACAGAAAACAGAAGTACTAAATCATTTTCTTTATAGAATGATACAGTTAGTCATTTTGATCATTTATATAAAAACAATAGAGATGAATAGCAATGTGAACAACTCAAAATGATAACAATTCAGCTATTCACAAAATGTATTTTAAATTTGCATTTACTCTATTTTCAATGATTTAATTAGAATATTGCT